AGCTGAGAAGAGACAAAGGACCAAGTCTTGGCCATATAGTTGAATACTATGGAAGCGATGAAGTTTGGGCCGCCATGTTGGCCTTTCCAGAGGCAGTCAAGTATGGCGATACAGCGTTTGAACGTGCTCATGGAATGAATCTGTACGACTACATTCACACAGCTGGGAAACTGGAGTATTCTGTTCCCACAAAGTCAGAAAACATGGCTTCTGACATGGGTACGAACCAGAGGAGGTTAGAGTTCGCACAAAATTACGATTGCGCAATGAGCATGTTGTCCCAGATGGACTTAGACAGTACGCAGCCAAGCTTAGCTACTGTGTACCCCTGGGTTAAGTGCAAACGAATCATGGACATCGGGGGAGGAGAGGGTCAATTATTGTCTCAAATTCTCAAAGTTTCAGGCTGTGAGCATATTAAAGGAGTATTACTTGACTTTCCCGATGTAGTCGAGCGAGCCAAATTGTTCCTAACCAGAGAAAATATAGCAGACAACAGAGTGACTTTACTCAAAGGAGACATCTTGGATGGCATTCCGAACTGCAAAGAGGTAGATACAATCATTGTCAAAAATTTTCTTGTAATTTTTACAGAAGACGGGATGGTGAAAGTTATGGAAAACTGTCGTCAAGTTCTTGCTAGACGTGGCAGATTTATTATCGTTAACAGTTGCAACCCTGAAGCCAGAGATACGGAGCATAATGTTACCAAAACTGGTTTACAGCAGGGCTTTCGTGGCATACACGTCATGACGATGAGTAAGATGGGACATTTTAGAACGAAGAGTGAGTGGCTGAACTTGATTGACAGGTTGTGCAGTAGAGTGGCTTTTCAACTGAACGCAGTCTATGAGACCGGAGATGGTCCTACATTGTTTGAACTGTTAAAATGCGAATAGATGATCGTTTTTGTTTTTGGCAACACAAGAGTTAATGCTTTAAGGTTTGTCGTTTAATTTGCAGTTCTGTTTTTTATTTTTCGATGAAAAAAAAATTAACATACATTTCTTTTTCATGTGTTTTCACTTAAACCAAAACAATGATGTGATATTTTTACTCAGGGAACACTGAAGCAGTCATAAATTAGAGGAGGGTGAAAATGCAACTTAACGATGGCGGATGATGTGAAAGCGCTTTGAAAAGTAGAAAGTTGATTTTTACAAGATTTCTCTGAATACTAATGGTTGATAAGAAATCTGCTTTCTTTCTGGAGGACACCGTGTGAGACGAAGGACATTCTTCCATTCCAGGAAGAGTTACAGTCCTGCAATAATTTTCCATAACATGTTTATTTACCAAGTACTTTCTACCCCTATACCGTAAAAAGAATTCATATTAGAAATTGATGTAAATTATCACCAAGTATTTTTTTACTATTTGCAGCTAAATTTTATACCATGATATGGCTTTGGTCGGTTTGTAGGAGTAAAACAAAATGCTGGTTTGTGACGGTTTTTTTTTTTAACCAGACCATAGGACTTACTGCGAATGTTTTATTTTCGGATGATTTTGTACCATTAACACGTGCATGTACGAGTAAGAAAATTGCTTGGTCTAAGTATTATCAGTTTTTATTAGTTCGTAGGAGTTTTAAAATTAAAAGATAGGTATTGATGTCATATTTGTCTCCAAGAAAAAAAAAAACAAACAAACAAACGGGTTGGTGTTGGTAATCGTCCCGGTTTGCAGTATTCTCTACCGGTTTCTCCAGTCAGTTCTGCTACGACCTTTGATTTCCACNNNNTAATATCGCAGAGATCAGTGGTTTGAGTCCCGTACAGGCCTGATTTTTTTCAGGTCTGATTTTCGCTATTGCTTAAATAGCGCTATCTACTGCGAGGATCATGCATCATACGTATCATACGTATTGTTCCTTTATTTCGCAATAATGGATTAAGAAAAAAAAAGTTTAATCTAGCTTCGATTTGTTGTCCTTGAACACAAGCTGAGAATTATGAGCTCGATTTAGAAGCGCACTTAGTCATCCTAGCTCGAAGATTAAAAGAGGTCATCTATAAGAAGTAAATGAAAAAAAACTTTTAGCGTMATGTCTATCAATTTACCAAACGCAAATTGGGTCATAAACCGCTAAAGTAAATACCATGAAATGAGGTGAAGCATCGCAATTCTGGAAGATACAGGTGCGAGCTCCATCACGATTCAATATCATGTCCCCACGTCTATAGATGAAAAAAACAATTGAACACAGATGCTGTTACCGTATATGTTGCAAATGAGAAAGCAGAACATGAAGTTAGTATAAGATGTTTATCACCTCGAGGCCTTGCTAAATGCTGGCAGAAATCCACCATAGAAAATTATTAATCAGGCGAAGCATGTGCAGGATACGTGATGCGCCAACTAAAGTATTTAGGCGGATAACCTTCAAGGTCCTAAAAAGCCTTATTTTGCCTCAGACCTCTCCTGCAGGTGCCTGGTCCGTTCGGCCTAATTCTCAGAAATTAGACACGCCACTTTCTTTGATCCAAACTGATCAAAACAAAGATTCTCAAGGGTAACACAAAAATTTGAAACGTTCTGATACTCTTTTTTTCCTTATACTTATGCCGTTGATTAAAAAGTACTTTCTCTCAAACTTATAAGCGGAAAGAAGTATGGAGAAATTTTTTCTTCAACCGACGGTAGAATGAATATAAAGGTAATGCGAAACATTTGCTAGAAGCACAAAGCGTCCGTGAAGCGCACGAGCTTTAACACTGCTCCTTCCAATAGTTTCTCGTTTATCGGGAAAATGAGGGTGTTTCCAGGATCTCTCTTATTGGCGGTGCTTTTGGTTGTATGTGAAATTGCCTTTATGGTTGAAGGTAAGAGGAACTACTCTAAAAATTATTAGCTTCTCCAATCATTTTCTGGCGAGATTAGGGATAGAAGGATTGGATCGAAAGTAAAGATTGGAATGCAAGCGCTAAAAATTAGATGGGATACCTTTACATTTGCAAGGAGATTTTCTCTAGTTTCACTTTAAATTCTATCGTTTCATTTATTGTTTAGGACAAACTCTGGTTCAAGATGGAAAGATCAACTTCACTGCCTCATATCCTGACTTGCTTTATTGCACGAACGTGCAGTTCCCTCGTGCATTCTCCAGCTCGAGAAATGTACGGGTGATAACTTCCATCAGCTATGAGTCCAACACTCGCAGTGTACACGACTCGGCTGCTGTATGGACGTCAGACTTGACACAGAGCAGTTTCCGCGTATGTGTATTGGAGTCGGGACCTGGTACAAACGGATCCGCCGTCGTGAACTGGATTGCATTTCGAAGCGCTCCTTCTGGAATGTTGGACGGCACCGCCTCCTTCAGCGCATTTACCAGTGGAACAAAATGTGAAAGAGTTACCTTTGCTCAGGTAGTTTCCCAGAAAAGAACATTATTTCTTAAAATAAAGAAGGGATTCGCAGAAAATGTGTGAAACATAG